CCTATCCAAATGTACTGACGCTAATAGTCGTTGATTTTTAAACCGCTCCATGCGTCATCATAGTTGGTGGCAGAGAGTGGAGAAGATTATATTGTATTAAATGCGGGACCAGATAAACATGATAATAATAGAAAATATTTTAATAATAATAATTAATATTTATTAATATTTCTGGCAGAAACAAAAGAATCAAATCTATAATAGAACAAACGCCATTTTTCGGGATTACCTTCAAATTTAGTAAATCAACATTCGGTAAATAGGTGTTATATTGTGGTTGAGGCGTTATAGAAGTGGTCATACTATTTGTGGAAGTAGTTGGCGTTAATACTGAATTTATTTTAAAAATAATCGTCTCTATTACATCGGTAACTGGAGAATCAATACACTAGAATTCTTCGACCATAATTTCAAAACCGAAACTTCAATCACAAGGTGTTGGTGTTCGCGGAATTGCGTAATTTGGGTATCTAGTTGGTGCGAATTTCCAACTCAGACATTAGTGATACACTGCAACTTAAAAGATTTCTTCATCGATCTCGTATGTAATCATGCAACTTACTGAGTCTCTTGCACAAACGGTGGTGGTAGAGCAAGAGACGTTATCAGTCATAAAGATAAAAATCAATAAAGATGTAGCGAAACGCCCTCTTGTACTGCATATTCAATAGTTACACATAGCTATAGTATAAAGTATATTATTAATTTCTAAAGAGAGATTTTAATCAAAATCAATAATAAAAATCTAATGCAGGGTATGTCATAGTATCACCCACTGTTACTACATATAATATCAATTTACTTTTTACTATGTAATTAAAATATGTACTTCTATTATTAACAAAAAAATTACTACAACTTAAGAATTCATCCTTTATAATTAACTTAAATTTTAAAATACGAGATGCAGCAATGAAATAGTTATCTAGTATTTAAAACTCAATTTTTTGTTTCTTATATAATGTATTTATTTTTGCACTTTTCATATGGGATTAGTTGTAAAAATATGGAATTTTTGTTTTTATTTATCTAGTATTTCAAAAAAAAAAAAGTTTTCGCTCTACTTAATTAGATAGTAAACAAATGTTCTGTATTATTGATAAACTGCAAATTGCAGTGTTTCAAGTGACGCCCCTTTTTCTTGTATTTAACCATATAAGTATCTAGTCCTTCTAGAACATTCGATGCTTGTTGAGCCCTTTTTAATGCATAGAGACTACGGCCGCCGTCGCCTAAAGCGACGCGTCAAGAAGTCGTCATTTATTCGTTCAAGAGTCAGATAGTTCATAGGGGCGAACCTGAACGACTATCCACTGAATCTTTTATGTCATTTCACTGATTGAATCTTTTGTTTTATTAAATATTAACTCATTTAAGTGGTAAAATCATTTATAAGTGTAAATATAATAAATAGCAACTAATATTCAGACGCGTTATTGTTTCATTTTGACTACCGTACCATTCCTGGCACAACAAATGTAAAGTTTTTCAAAGAGGTAAGCTGTAGTAGACCAAGGATTTTGTGTGAGAGGCTCATGAATTTTAAGTATACATTTAATGTTTTACAATATAAAAAACCCAGTACAGGTGGGTCGCGGCACAGTGGTGTAGTGTTATAGTTGGATCAAGTATAATGATATCTGACAGTGATTAAAATCACTATAAAAAAAAACGTTTCGATGCAAATCTTTAGATAATGTTAAATTTTAAAAAAATTGGCGTTTTATTCCAAAAGCTACATGATCTGCTGGTTCCTTATTAATATCTCGATTAAGATAAAGTATGTCGAACGAAAAAGGGTTTATTAAAAAATATTATTTCTCAGAAAAAAATTGTGTGGATCCATACACTTTTCAATAAGTTATAGCATTATAAAGTTAAAAATGTAAAAAATAAAATCGAGAATTTTCACACGAAAATAGCATTCGGTAGCGATTTTCGCCGTGAAGACAAGTCCAGAGGTCAAATTTTTTTTTTAAATTAAAGTATATTACATTAGCATTAATTTAAGATATATATAAAAGTGTCAGACCTTCCGGAACATTTTCAAAAGTTAAGTTGAAAAAGTTCTACTTTATATATGCATTTTAAGCCACCCCACATATAGGGAAATGGTCTGATTTAAAAAAAAAGTATGTCCAATGAAAGATGTATATGAATACTACTTTTCATGAAAAAATTGTATTGATCCATACATTTTTTAAAAAGTTATAGCACTTTAAAGTAAAAAATGTAAATTATAAAATTGAGAATTTTCACACAAAAATAGCATTCGATAGCCATTTTCACCATGAAGACAAGTCCAGAGGTCAAATTTTTTTTTTCAAATTAAAGTATATTACATTAGCTTTAATTTAAGATATATAAATTTTAAAGGCAAAACATTTATTTGTGCTATTAAAATTATTAAATTATAATAAACGTTTATCGAACAGTAAAATTTTGACCGTAACCTAATAGAACAATAGAATCTATTTGAGGAACGTATACGTTCATTAAACAAACGATTAAAAAATAGGTCCATTAGACCGGACTGTCGATATTTTAAAGGATCAACGGTCTTTTTAGATGACCGTTCATTATTAACTTCAGATCAATTAGGACTGTGCCTATTTATACTTTGAAGTATAAGATCGATCCAAACCGAACCACGGTCTAGTTCAGTTCAGCACTATAAATTTTATGTTTTTACTTTTTAGACCTCAGTATTACTTTGAAATGTTGATCGTTAATAGTGTGATGGTAATTTTGTTTTATTAAGTTGTAGGTGTTATGTTATATATTTTTACTGGCACAATTTCAGAAGTAATGCTCATATTAGACAAGATGCTAATTATTTGTACTATTTTAAAGATATTATTGAAGTGTAACAATAGACTAAATACTAGACTGTTACGAACTCTATTATAATACGATTTTTGGTATCATAAATCCAATAATTAATTATTTGTGTATTTTTAAGTTTATTAATTTTATTTTAGCTGAATTAAGTAAGCTATAAAGTAATCAAGCTTTTTGAAATTTTTATTATTAAGATAATGTATATGTTTTAAATATGATAATTTTCATATTTTTTTATAATTTGATGTATTATTTTAGTAATGAAGTTTTTCAGCATTTAATTAAAGCGTGATTGTTATTTTATAGCACTTTTACTATATCAAGTTTTTCGGTAAAGGCTATTACATTATTTTTAGTTTGTGTAAACAATAGTAAGATAAATATAAAATAAAATTGATTATATTATTCATTGCATTTTCGCTAAAAAGTTTTATTAGTGATATTTTTTATGACTCGTGTGAATAATTAACTAAATTTTTTCACTTCTACTGTCATTTTATAAAAATTAAATAGCAATAGTGATGTAATAAATGAATATTTTCGAGATATTTTTATGGTACTGGTAATATTTTTCTATAGATTGTTACAGAAATTTACTAAAAAAATAGAACTAATAATAATTAGAATATTTAATCAAACTTACAATTTATTTGATTTAACGAATATTTATTGAAAATTTATGATATAATAATAATTATTTATTATTTAATTGATAGTAATATATTGAAAATAATAGCAAAAATTATTTTAAAAATATTTGAGTCAAAATTATTTTATGGGTTCTTAATGTTTCTGTATTTTTATGGCTTTTCAATGTTTTGCATTTCTATGGCGTCTTATTCAACAACTAAAAATAAAACCTCCCAAAAAAAAGCTTTAGTGTAGACGCAATCAAAAATGATTATCCGTAAAATAGGCTCAATTATACATTTGGTTACTGCTATATATAACTCTTAGGCTTTTTAAACTAGAAAATATAAAATTGGATAAATGTTAACTTTTATTTGAAGCAGACTATTTCTCCAACTTAGTTTGATTTAATTATTGAATGCTATATAGATAAATTCGTATGAGACTAATTTTATATTTGTTGGCCAATTCAGGACTATTTTACAATTATGTAAAAATTTTACATTATATTTAATATATTAAAAAAAAGTTAAAAAGAATATTCTCGTTTTTTGATAATAATTTTACGAATATTCCCGAAAATATATTAAAAAAATATTATTAGGGTACGGGATTAGAACCCGCGACCCAAGACGCCGTATGGACAAACCTTACCACTAGGCCACCGAGCACATATGATTCAGAATTCGATACACTTTTATTTAGGTCGATAACGTGATGTGCGGCTGAAGGATACACGGTACCGTGTCAACTTTGTATAATTTTTTGTATACTTTCTACATTTATTTTTTCTCGTAGTATAGTCTAAAAGATTTAATAAATGATTCTACTCTCAAATAATTTCCATTATAAAATGACATCATAAAAAGATGCATAACTATTTAAAAAATAGTTTATAAAACTTAAAAAGTTCTATAGTTTAATACTAAAAGAATACTATCGTATTAATTAGTCGAACCTATATTAAAAAGTAATTTTAATCGTTTATAAATTAACGTTTATCAATAATGTTTCTAACACTCAATAAATATCTAACATATTTCTAATGTTTTTAATAAGTAAATATTAATTTATATTAAGTAATTATCATTTTTTAATTGTTTGTGGTCATACATATCTAAACACCCAATTCATTTATGAGAGTATTTTATATGGTTATAAGTAATCTCTATTTGATATAATTTGAAAACTGCGGTGAATATAATTATTTTTTATAATAACTTTTAATTTTTAATACGCTCGAAGCATTAAATGTTTTTCAATTTTTCCTTTGTTTAAAAAAAATATATATATATATATATATATGTATAAAATAAAATTTAGGAATATATAATGTGATTTAGTGAAAGTATTCCCTTAATGTTGTAAAATAATAACTATTAGAGCTTAACAAGTTAAAAAACTACAGAAAGCCAGTCCAATGAAACAAAAATGTGTTAAAGCTTAACAAACAAGCTAGGCGTTTATTATACAGAAAAATAGGGATTTTTTTTACTAGTTTATGAACTATTGTATAATTTTATCACAACCTTGCCCAAATTGGTGTACGGAGACGTCGCTTTTGTCGTATTGCTGCTGTTGTGGACATGGTAGACTGCTGTTGGGTAAGCGAATCCGTCCGTTCATCATCCCTATATTCATCAGATATGCAATAACCGTAAGGTAGGTATAACAATCAAGTATATTAAATGAATAATTTCAATAAATGCATATATTTTTTATCGTAATAATTCTATTTCAATAGCTATATTTATGAAGCTGCGAAATTAAATATATGCATAATACGTCATTATAATAGTACATTTAAGGATGATAAACTAGTTTGTTATGTATGTAAATGTGCGTAACTAATACAGTAGATTTGAAATTCTATACATTATCGTATTGATTATATACGTAACATTTTTTTAAATTCATAATAATTCCATTAGTTGCAGTTCTAAAATTGCACAATAGTTATTTAGTTTTTAGATTAATTTTATGACTCAAAGATGCTGGCAGCATAACTACAAAATATTTAAAAAATAAAACGTTGACTTTAGGGCATACACATAATAAATATAAATTAAGGGTAATTTGTTATGTTCCTATTATTATTATTATTTTTAAGGCGGGTTAGTTAATTTTTAAGAGCTATATACTAATCAATTTTTCTTCATTTTACTTTTTTGATAGATAAGGACACGTGAATCTAGTAAGATAAACATTTTAAGTAGTAAATAATACTATTGTTCACTTAGCATATAAACGGGATAATCTTAAAAATTGTATTTCTTTAAAAATCATAAATTTTAAAACACCTAAATATAAAATATTTTATCAAGGGAATGGAATTCCCTGGAATCATTTATTGTTGCATTTTCAAATACTAATAAGTCAACTAATTTTTAGGAAACTTCAGTACTCTGTAGTTTTTGTAAGAAAATATAGTCGTAAAACTTTTGAAGTTCTAATAAAAGTACCATCTGTATAATATATTTAATATTTGAGACACAAACAAACAACTTTGATTAAGAGAAGACAGTGTTATAGTTATAAAATCAATACCAAATTATTTCCAATTATAACATTTCTAAAAATCACTATCATAAAATGATTCCAATGCGATTGTGCTCAATGAATGTTTAATTATTATAACCTTCATTGGTTGATGATAATTTTAAGATGGATTGAAGTTGTAATTTCAAATAATCATTTGGTAGCTAGAATACATTTTAATGAAAAAGGGGCAAATCCTTTTCCTATACTATGCTTATTAGATAGATATTTAAATCTGTAAAAATCCTCCCTAAAAATATTTATAATTAACAACTCTTAAGTCTTATTTAATTTGTATTTTTGAAGGAAGACTATTAAACACAAAATGGTGGTACTAAAATCCCTTTTCTTTATGTCAATATTGTTTGATCTAAAATGTAGGCATTAATAATTGAAATATAAAACTGTACCAATACAAAAAATGGTGAATTCTTATATAATTGTGTCATATTTTGTTTAATTTCCATGACAGTTTACATATGAATCGCTACGCAGAAAAGGAATAAATCTATAATTATCATTTTGAATTAGGAATTTGTAGATTCATAATTTTCTGTAAATGAGAAAATCTGATCAATCAAAAATCAAATATATCGTTTAAAAATAAAAATTTACTATAAAAAAATTACATATTCAAGTAATTTTTCATCTTAACTGAAAAATGAGTAAAAGTTGGATTTTACCTTGTCTGTATAGTCGACAAAAGAGATCGGGAAATTTTTTTTTTTCAATTTGTAGTTTGTAGGGTATATTATTTTTGATAATTTTAATAACTTTTGATCTAGCAAATATTTTGCTTATTTTTTTTTTAATTTTGATTACAATTTTCAATTATGATACAAGTATATTATTTATTAGTTGTCTCTAATAAGTAAACATTTTTTTGAATTTTTCAATATAGTATTTATTAAAAAAATATTTTTATGGATCGATAAGAATTTTATAATAATTACTTATTTAGTTACAAATATTTTAATGCATAGTGAGTATATAACGCGTGTGGAGTATGCATTATAAATATACTTAAGTGCAAGTTGTACGCGCCTGCACAATATACTCACTCAATGTATAAAAATTCCATACATTAAGTGAGTATATAGTTCCAAATATTGTATGGAAATTCTTGTAACTCAAAAAGTACTTATCCTAAAATTGTCATCAACTCATAATTTTTTATATCAAATCGTCTAAGAAAATTACTATTTTAAAATATTGAAAATATAAAGAAATTGTATTTTTACATTTTTCTTATTAGAAACAAATAATAAAAAACATGTTTTAAACAAAATCTAAGAAGAAAAAATTATTAAAAAAAAGAATTTCAACAAAATAATAATTGTATCAAAACTGATAATAAGCATATAATTACAGTAGAGTATAGTCATTATCAAAGGTTAAATTAACATCACCTTTGAAAATTTTTATTTAAACATTAAATATTATTTATATTAGAGATACTATTTTTTTCAATTATTACAAATTACAAAATGTGAAATTTTTTTTGGTGGTATCATACATGAAAATAATTCAATATTGACCATAGGAAAATATATTTTTACCAGTTACTTTAAGTATAAATATTAAATAAAATTATAGAAAAGACAGATGATTTTTTTTATTAGCTTTATTACGACCTTGAAGGTGAGTTGATCATAAAAGATTGACTTCATTAAAATTTCCTGAATAGTTGTTAACTAAACAACTTTAATGATAAAATTTTATATTTAATAGAGAAACCTAGTTTAATTTGAATGTTAAAAAAATATTTTTTTGTTTTAAATATGAACAAAAAAAAATTATTATAAATTATAATTATTACATTTGTAATATTACAGTTTTTATAAATAAGTATTATGAATTCTATCAAATGTTATACACAAACCCAGCAATAGGCTGTTAAAAACATTTTTTAGTTGTAAGTGCTACAACATTAATTTGTTAATTGTTCATTTTACAATTGATTCTTTTAAGTGTTCTTTGTCAACTTGTTGCACCAAAATAAAACTACTCCAAAAGTACATTATCAAAATTAATAATTCATAAAGAAGAAAAGTTTAACAAGCAAACTTCACAATATTCTTAAAAAAAATCGATAGTCATTTTTTTTATTGAGATAGACCGTATAAAAGAACAACTATGATGATGCTATTTATAAAATAATTTTATCATCATATAAGTTGTTAACATGTTCCAATTAAAAAAAAATAAGAATTCAAATTTCTATACACTCTAAAAAATGACTTATTGTTTAAGTAAAAATTAGCTTACTTTGGATCTTCATCCGTAAATGCAGTTTCCAACACTTTGGCCGCGAAAAACAAGTTTTTATGTAATACTTCAGCTGATATTTGTCCTTTTCTCAGTTGCCTCAGTAAACATCGTAACCTGTAAAATGAATATAATTATTTTATCGGATAAATTAGTAATCAGTTTTAATTCATTTTTATATCTATATTTTATCTATTTACTAAATGATTAATTAAGTAAAATTATGTCAAAAAGTAGGCTTACGTGAAGTTCATTAATTTTTTTTTCTATTAAACTTCAAATATAGATTTAAAGTTAGAATCATTAATATTTCTTATAATGTTTAACTTTATCTAGTTTGAAATTATTGAAAGAATATTATTTTTTAGTTTTAGCGTATTATGTATAAGATTATTTAAAATGTAATAGTTAAAGTGTCGCTAGGTTAATTATGCTTCAAGGCAACTTTCATTAAGAGGCTTTCTTGAAAGGAAAGCGTAGATTTTATGATTTATTTTTTTAACAACTTTAAATTTAAATATCAAATTCACAAAAATGGTTAATCATAAATTTAGAGTAATAGTTTAATGAGACTTTTTGGAAGTCTGATAAGTTTGTTTTTTAAAGGTAGTATAAAGAAATTGCAATATATTTCTCTAGAGCAATTTATTGATAAAAACATATTTTACTGTCTCAAATTCTTGTTAGTTTGCCTTGAAGGTATATTAATGAGGAACAATTTGTTAAATTTGTCTTCGCTAACATAAATATTAAATATATGTTTATATTTATGCATAGGACTCTTATTGAAAATACCTACATTGTGTTGACTTTGAAGACTTTTGAATAGTTTCTGTTTAAATTATACCCTTATTCAATACAGTTAAATATGTTCAAACGAAGACCACATTATACTTTATGTGAGCCAAGCTTTTAAAGTAAACGTTTTAATAAGCCATTAGAAGTTTCTCAGGAATGGAGGCTTATAAAATAACTATAAAATGGTAATTACAATACGATAAAAGTGGTGTGCTTATATTGATGCCGTTAAGTTTTCTGAACAATATAAATGCAAATATATTTTTTTATTAAAATTTGTTTTATCACATGTTGTTAGATATTGAGTAATGTATTTTAATAACTGAGCTTTACTAATTTAATAATTATTGCAAGATTTACATTTTTTAAAAACTTATTGCCCAAGTTTTGAAATGAAATTTGGTCATAGTATGGTGTTATAAAGAGTTGTAATCAGTGTTTTGAAAAAGTTAATGAATGGATTTTCGTTAATTTAAAATATTTCTCGGAACTCTCCCTTATAAAAGTTGAAATGGTAAAACGAAACTATGGTCCACAGCGAAGCGTAAAACCAAGAGAAATTAAAGATAAACTAATTACATTCAAACAGTTTTCTTAACGTAAAATTAGCAAATTAAATTTTTTATTCACTAACTATTATTATTAAAAATTATATTGATCAACAATAATCCACACAATAATTTAAATACTTTAAAAATATAATATTTTTAAATATTCTATTATAAATTTTTATGGGACATGAATTTAACACTGATTCATTGCCTACTTAATAGATATAAGAAATAAAAAAACTAATAATTGTCTACATTTAATATTGTTGGGTAAATTCATAAAACTTATATTTCATATTTGTATTTAAGTGCATAATATAATAAGAGTTTATTTGCATGTCTATGCAAATCAGTTTTCTGATTATAAAAATTTTTATTATATGTTAAATCATTTATTATTAAATAACATTATAATGGTGTAATTTGATGCGCATTTTTTATCAGTTAATATTATACTATTTTCTTTATATTTTATTTGATTTAAAAACTTGCTAGAATAAACTAATGATAAGTACTTAATATACGTAATTTCTTTTAAGATTTCTCAAGAGTGTCTGTTAATTATTTATTCTTTTATGTTTCAAAGAAGTATACAAGTAAATTTAATGAATTGTTACATACACTGTAGTAAGGTAAATAATATGTTAATAAATATTAGTGTAAGATATTTTCTGATTTTCAAATTAAATTCTTTGAGTTTCGGTCTACCAACCAATCTACATTTATAGTCTTCTCGTTAATTTATTAATACTTTTTTTACACATATAGAAAATAATACTAAACGAACATTTTCAAAACTCTCGTAGGATTACTTGGTATGTACACCACTTCTATATGAATATATCATAACATATATATTTTTCGTTTAAAAATAAATAAATAATTTTTACAAGGCGATAGATAATTTGCGTTGACCAATCAATTTTTCCTAGATAATAAATAATATAGAGAATTTTTCAATACATTTTTTAATACTATAATTTAATTCTTCAATTCTACTTCTCATTCAATTCTTGATTTACGAGTGAGAATTTCATTTTATTAGTACAGTAATCGGGGTAAAAGTGTATATATTATTTTCTAGCGCATATAATTTGCTGTATATGATAGCTATTAACTATTTTGTTTTTAGCTAGAATAACTATGAAAAAATACAAACTAAATATGAACAATGAGATTTAAATTTATTTAATGATTAAGGAACTGAAACAAAATGAAAAATTAAAGCGTACTTTTACCCCATTGATGGAGTAAGACTCTAGTTAGTATTGATTAAGTTTAATGAGCAAATAAATAAACAAATAAATGTATTATCAGTTTTTTTTTTACTCGAAATAAGAAAATAATTACAAAGTTTATTGAATTAAGTAATATTGAAATTTGTCATAATACACTCGTCACTATCGCAATATGAAATAACAGTGTGCTACTCGTGTGCACAATAATGGTTTTACATTTAATTTTTTCATTAAAGATTATTAACACTTTTATCTATAAATTATATGCTTAAAATAACATGATTGTTTTTAAATAAATAACTTGGAGAAATATTTAACAAACGCATACTGTCGTTTAATTATATTATATTACAGACGATTCAGTCATGACTCAATTATTAGTCACCTTTAAAAATCACTCTTTAAGAAATTTATAAATTATACTTGTCAACTCTTTCTACTTTTATCTTAATAAATAAACACAATGTGTCAACCCTAGTCTTAAATGTAAAAACAAACTATATTAACATTATATTAAAATGATTTGTATATTATTCACATGTATTAATTTATATATTTCATATTTTATGCTTACTTATCAATAAACGATAACATTACAATAATGACACAATGATGATTGTCCGGGGATACAAAATACTATAAAAGGCAGTGTAATCCTCCTCAGTCAGTGCTGAGGGCTTGAGGGAGTTTGTCTCCAGATATTCAAGGGACTGTTCTAATCGCGTTCTCGACATCGATACGTTAAGTTTGTAATCATCATTGTTAAAATTCTCACGGGTTAATTTATGAACTAAACATTTGAGTTCGTGTTATTTTGTTATTACTTGATACTATTAAAAGTTATTATAAGAACAGAGAAAATTATCAGGTAAGATATCAAATAAATAAGAGTCAATACTTATATTATCTTATAACTCAATTATTTAGAATTAATAATCTGAGTACAGAACTATAAAACAATAGATAAAATATTTATATTAATCTTTATACTTCAATTAATTATTACTGACTAGTTCGTACCTTATACATAATAACATTACATGGTATTCGTAAGATGTCCCCCCCTCTTCGTTGCCTCAGTGTATTATTACAGGTATTTACTAGTTGGATCATTTATAATATCTCTATAAGAGGAACCTTAATTATTTCTTTTTATATCTACTTGTCTTTATTGTTCTAACCCTTCGGACTCTACAACCCCGATAGAACCTCGTTGCTCACCAATTGATCAAATCCCCAAACATACCCAAACTTGGTCAATATATACACAATACATATCAACCTCATTTTTGTATTATTACAAATTCAATATCATAATATTTAATTATAATAAGTGAAAAAAGTAATTTAGGAGTAATATTAATAAAAAAAAAACAATTATAAAAATTATTGAATCAATTATTAAAATTAGATAAAATATTGTTAAAACTTATTTTATTTCAAAACAAGTAAAAAGTTTATTCTTTTAAAGTAACAATGCACTTTTATCCCAAATGAAATTTTTTCTTTGAATTTGATACTAAAAAAAAAGTAGGCTAAAGTAATATTATGTGATTACATAATAATAAACAATATTATAAATCTAATAAAAAAAATTTAAGTTTTATAAACTTAAAACAGTATTCTTAAACAATGAAATATATCATAGAAGTATAAAAAATTTTCATAATCATTGCAATGATTTCAATTTTAGCTCTATGATTTTGCAACGACTAAAAACTTGTTAAAATGGTTTAAGATTTAATATAACCTACCATTGGTTGATAACTATAAAATTAAATGATTTATGTAAATTTTGTACTTTTACCCCGTTCAATATTTATGTAAGGTCCATCTCTTTTACTATTTAAGGGTGTCAAGTTAGATTTGTTAAATGTGACATGTATATTAAACTAGTATACTATTTAGAAAATGATTGATCAATAACAATATTTAAAAAAGTATTGAAAATTATTAACACTAAATATAGGTTGGGGTTGGAGAGCGGGTAATAAATATTTTTATTACTGAGCTACTTCAGCTGCGCTCTTTTAACCATAAATGAAAATATTCATAACTTCCAGAATTCAAAAACTATCATCCATTAATAATATAATTAATTAGATAATTTTAATTAATAGGCTAGCATTCACTGAACAATTTATTTTAAATTCGTTTTGTCACACTTTTTAATTATTTTACCTGAGAGCAGCTTTGTCTATGGCTTCTGTCGTATCAATCGATGGCAAAGCATCTATACTTAAATCTACGTCGTCCAATATGGCTTCGGCTTCTTTGGATAGTGGCATATTATAATCGTCAGAGTATGTGTGCTTTTTTTGGCTACTTCGGCGAACAATTGTCAAAGCTCCTTGTTCTATTAAAATGTAAATTTAACATAAATAATTAAGGCAATTTTAAATATAAATGATAAAATAAAAATAATTTTTTCTTTCTAATTTTTCTGTCTTAATACTTAAATTTAAAATTGAAAAGATCACTTGAATCGATCAATACGAAAATTTTACAAACAAGTCCTGATATTCAAATTTTGTTGTATGATTATTTATTAGTGGTGTAAACTAGGTGAATGCGCAAAATAGACCTTTTGGTATGAATGCATTGGCAGTTCATACTTACCTCTCTAACAACTATAACTTGTTGAAACAAAAAAATATGGTATAACTAAATTTTTTAAAAGTAATTACTTAATAAATGTAAATTCCTGCACTTTTCTAAAATTTTTATTATTTTCATTGTTTCTACACAAAATTATAATTTAAATATATTATGTTGATATTAATATTTTAAATTCATATGTTTTAAACATTATTTTAATTTGAAAAATCAAGGAAGAAATATAAATAAAAATTCATTTTTATTTAAAAGTAATATGGAAAATTAGCATCTTTCAATGTAAAAATGTTAAGAACAAAATGTAAATAATAATTTTGGTATAAAAAAATGCAGGTTTTTCGTTGTATTTTTTAAATGCATTGGTAAAAAGTAAAAAATTTTTGGCAGTCATCGTTGTGCATAGTTGGTAGTGTAAATAAAAGTTTGTGTGTCTTTTTAGAAAATTTCAATTGTTTTTTAAACATTTTATTTTCAATATTATAAATTAATATGTTTTGTTCTCATGTATTTTTTTTTGCATTTAATTAATAGTAGTAAGGTTTAACGGAGTGACAAAACATTAGGAAATTTAAAATGATTTTCCATGAAAATTAAGAGATAATTTTTTTTAGCTTCGATGCGTAGGTGTTTTTTTTTTTGTGCTTGATATGTCAATAAATTCGCTCCTACTGGATCGATTTTGCTTAACGATTATAAAACCTATCTATTTGAAGCTATCAGTGCCATAATTTTGTGTTTTCATTCAAGATTAAAACGGAAGCTTAAATATTTATTTGAAAACTAAACAGAATTTTTTTTTCGAGTATTTAAAATTTAGTTCTATAAATTCAATAAGCAAACGTGTTGAAATATATATGAATAACATACTACAACAGTATTAAAGTATTACTGTATGATATTTATAAGTAATATAAATTTGTTGATTTTTGTTTTAGTTGGTTAGTATTAGATCTCTGTACCAGATACGTTTTAGGCGTTTGGTTGTTTGGAAATTTTATATCATCAAGTTCGGATGATTTAACAGTTTTTTATGATATCTTAAGAAGAGCAATGTTCCAGATTCCTTTATATTTTTTGTATTTAGTTCGCTATGCAGCTGATTATTAGTTACTAATCAAGGATTGGTTGAAGTAAACTTTTATATATTGCAAGATAGTCCCATAAATGAAGATCAGAAAAAAGTGAAGTTCTTATTATATAATTATATACAGAATGATAAAATAAACTATATACTGATAATAGAATAATTTTTTCATGGCTTTTATTTATATCCGTAGAAGAGCGGTAATCATACTGTTTCGAACTATTTGAGTTTCATAATACTTCAATAGTAATTATCATTTAATCATTACTGATAAAACAAATGCGAATTAAGATAATAACTTACTCGTTGATTGTGAGTCATCATCTTTTCGGGAATGATCTTGTGAGCCGGCGCTTTCGTCTGATTCAACAAAAACTGCATCATCTTTTTTACTAGTACCGTTATCATCAGGATCGGGAGGACTTGCCACTGAAACGACAAAAATTGTACCATAAAGTTAAATAAAGGTTGAAAAAATAATCTTCTTACAGAAAATGTTGTACATTTTTTTATTTATTTTACATATAGCGAGTTTTAATAATTAGCTCACGATCAGCACCTAAAAAATCTTTATGAACACAAACATGTCATAGTATGCTATTAATTTTAATAAATCTGTATAATAACTAGAATTTGTGTGATAAATTTTTACAAAAAAGATAATTATAAATTAATTTTAATTTTCATAGAATATGCATACCATGGTATGTTATTATTAGAGTTAGCAAGATGCCGATTGACTAAGAGATTATATTCTGATCAAACATAAAAAAATTAAAAACTATATTTATAATTATTATACAACGCGGACTTTTTGTGCAATATAGTCGTGATTTTATGAAAGTTCTTGTTTTTATTTTCCAACTTGAGCAGTAACGCGTTAAAAAATTAGAAGTTATGTTAGTTTAACATTTTAACTTACCTAGACAAATATATAAGTAATTTTGGTAATTTTTAATTAATTAGTAATCATAGTAACGGGAGGTAATAGAAGAGTATATCTCTCTACTACTTAACGTTCCAAAATTTATTTGAAACTTCCTATACAAAATTTCATAATTCGCCACTGGTATTTAGTAATTAATGGATTATTAGTATTGTAAACATGGAAATGTTTTGGAGAGAGATAAATGAAATGATACAAGATATTCTTGGTAATGAGGATACGATGACAAGTCAAGGTATGAATGGACATGTCAGTAATGATAAGAGAGGATATGAAAAAGTATATAGAGGGTATGATTTTAGTGATAAGATTGAATGAAAAGTATTCAGAGTGATCGGTTTATCTTAAACCTCTCGATTATTCGCTAAATGAATACAATATTGAAAAAAAAAAACGTTTGATTTTTTTTAGATACATATATTTCTTGATATATTAGCTGTTAATTACTTTTAAGATCAAACCTTATAACGTAAAGGGGTATCAACTTGATTTTAGCTTCGATGCGAAGCTAAGATGATATTAATTTTACTATTAATTTTTATTTATTTTTTTTGTGTCTGTTACCACTTTTTCGCAGATCTCGTCGAATCGATTTCTTTCAACGATACGTCAAAAGATCACAAATTGTATCTAGTCGAACTCTTAAAAATTGAAAAAATTTCCCTCTTTCCACATAAATGGGGAAAAACTCCAAAAAAATTATAATTTTAATAATTGCTAATTTTTTACATTTTTTCAATTTTATTTTATTTAAAACTACCATACATTTTTTAAAAATGTATGGATCAATATAATTTTTTTTTAATAGATATATTAGGTATTTACCTATCGTTTAGTATATATATTTTTTTAATCTGACCCTTCACCTGCCCACAGGGCGGAATTCAAAATGACAAATTTTTCAACATAACTTTTGAAAGTGTTCCGAAAATATTGACACTTTTATATATATCTTAAACCAAAGCTTATGTAATTTAAAAAGAAAATTAAACTTTTATTCGTCTTCATGGTGAAAATGGCTACATAAAAATATTCTATTTTAGTGTTAAAATTCTCGATTTTGTACTTTATTTTATTTTAAAATTTCTTACAAAAGTTTTTATGTTTGAAAAAAATTTTTTACTCATTTGATTTTAATCTCATTTAGATTAAATAACTTTAATGAATATCAAGGACCCCTTCAATATCGTCTCGTTTGTTCTGTGTGATCTGTAGTCTAGTTAAAGATATTACCCTCAAATAATGAAAAAATGTTCACTTTATTATCAATCAGTTACTTAGGTCACATTCTTCATATAGACAATTAAAACTATTCATTTCTAATATTATTAAAGTATTTATTGTTGGATTAGGTTTGATATAATAAAAAATTTCAACTGCAAAATTAAATTATTTTACTTTGTAATTTATTCATTTTTTAAACTTTATTTGAGTGTGTTACCACAAGTCTATAATATTCCAATTTTTTCTATAACATTATGCTATATATCATAAAATTAAAATTTTTTTTTTTACCTCATCTGAATTTAACAAAAAAATTTTACAATTATAATCATATTTTAATTCACACTCAATTGAGTAGTTTTGATTGGTTTTTTAAATAGATAATTAAAATTAATTAAGTTTTGAATATTTCAATTGTAGAATCTTTTTAAACACCAAAAGTTAGTTAGAAATAATTACTATGATTTATATTTAAGCAATCTATTAGAATAAAAATGAAAAATAAATATTGAGCTTTTCTGATAAATTTACAGTAAATAGTAATTATACAATTTCCTGGCTGCATATTAATCTTAACAATACTATTTTTCTATTTCTCATAAAATTTTCTATTTTATAATGTATATTTAAAACTTGAAATTGAGCTAAAAGTTATGGTAACAAATTCAGCTTTTTTTTATAATAAACTTTCAAAAAATTAACTTTAAAAGACCAAAAAAATAGGTTAAAAATTTTGCACTAATTATTTTTTACATATTAAAAATCAAAATCTGTAATAATTTAAAAACAATTTTTTTAGCGTATTAATTATTTAAGAAATATTAATCATTTCTATGTAATATCTTGGTGTTTAAATAGTTGACACAATTGAAATACTTAGAACTATGACCCTTAAAGTTATATCCTATAGTGTTTAAATAATTAGTAATAACATACAAAATATGTAAATAATGTATATTTTTGACTCTGATGAAAATATTGCAGACCACTTATTCATAATTAACAACAAATTATTATCTAAAAAGTTTTGCGTCAAGCCCTTCAATTTTTATACATGTTTGCTATAAATGTAATAACTACTTTGTAATTTTTTATAAATTCTCCGAAAAAATTTTAATACTTATTTATTCAATATCAATCTCATACTAATATAACTGCTATAATAAATATTTATTCATATATATATTATACTTCTAAATCAAAAAACTACTAATTAGGAATAATAAAGGAAATAGGGTTCATTTTGCTTTTGGTATAATCCACCATCATGTTGATTGATTAGTGAAGTGTTAATTAAGTACTTTCAAATAATTCCTTCTAAAAATTAAAAACAATCTACAGATTTGCATCGAACCGTTTCTTATGATAGTGTTTTTAATCACTGCCAGTTATCATCTATACTTGTTCCAACCATCCCATGTGCATAATGTGCCGCGGCCCCACTGTGCTACCTTTTTTTTAAGCGGTAACATACATATTTAAGTAGCTTATAAGATAGAAAATAATTTAATTAATAAAATGACTGTCGATAGCAAATTTTGGGCTAGTACTTTGGATGTTCTTCTTACTTTTATATCTAAGTGGAACGAAGAGTACAACCGGGGTATGACTGGTGATAAAATAGCAGCACCCACTCCTTACCTCCAGTCTATACTTTAAATTGTTAATAACTTTTGCAATACTGATCCAAATGAGTTATGAAACAGATAATGTTATCGATCAGATATTATCACCTTAATTACATAATTTCCTATTTTATAAGCTGGCCAAATATGTATGTTGCCCATTAAGAAAAATAAAGTTGATATCCCATTAAGTTATAAGGCATGATTTTAAAAATTAATTATTCGCTGATTAATCAAAAATTATATTTAAATAATAACAATCAAAAATTGTTTTTCTAATATTGTATTTTGTGAGTAATGTAGTGGTNTTATATTTAAATAATAACAATCAAAAATTGTTTTTCTAATATTGTATTTTGTGAGTAATGTTATGATTAACCGATCACTCTGTGTATGATGTTTGACAGTGATTAAAATAACCAATATAAAAACACATCGATACAAATTGTAAGTTAGTGTTTAATTTTTAGAAGGAATTATTTGAAAATACTTAAACTAATTAACACTTTAAATGTTAATCTCGTCATTTTGGCTCTTTCTGAGTCCTCCCGTTGGGTATACTGGTTAGTCCCAATTTCTCCAGTTAGTGAACCATTAAAGAGGTAGGTATTAGACCCGTCCGCACGGTCTAAATCAATAGTAGCAGACAAGAGAGTGACTTCCGTCAGCCACCAGCACAACTACTTTTCACTTTGCCCACTAAAGAGCGGTTAAGCCCAAAACTAGTTAGCACCCACTCTAACTGTTAAGACCGAATAAAGGACCAGCAGTTCAATTTTGAGTCATACACACACACACAATTTTAAAAATACGGCGGATATGAAGAATTTACACCAAGTACAATATAACTGTTTTTAACACAACCAAGTACAGGTTTAAAACAGTTATATTTTATTTACCGAGAGTAAGAAATACAAAATCAAATATAATAAAAAAATGTAACACAATATAAAATTAATCCCGTTTGAAATACTAGTTTCACGCGCTACAATGTGTAACCGTACACAAGACGTTCTTTGTTAGGAACGTCCGTCCCCCATTACTTTACTCGTTTTCCTTTATATATTGTTGTTCCCACAATTTTTAATTTGTTTACCCTGCATTCTTCCATTATGTGATATTATTATTATTATTTTACTTAAGAGTTTGAAATTGCTTACTAAAGTGTTAAAAATCTTATAATTTGCTAATACGGAAAATTATTTAATACCTTTTTAGCTATTTACTATAATGAATAAATAAATACTATAAAAATTAAATTAAGCATGAAGTTGATATTCAACATTAGCTTCGATACGAAGCTGAGAGGGTTTTTTATATTGTATTTTAATAAGCTAAAAAATGTTCTAATTAGGATAATGTCTGGATAGAATACATCCTCGGTAGTCCACACCTGTCGTATGAACCAAATAAAATGGACATAGCAGTGCTTCTAGTACTAAGTGTAGATGAACAAAGTTATCTACACTTGGCTAATCACCAATCCTTAGAAATAGGGTTTAGGCTGTCATGTAGAAGGCAAGGGAAAACCATCACATTAACATTCCTAGTTAGGTAACTACTATTTTGTTTTCTAAAATGGATTCTCGCAGAGTAAAAATTTTGTCCAGACGTAAAATAACTCCCTGTTCGGA